ATCTCTAGATGTAGCTCAGTGGTACAGCATCTGCTTGGCATGCATAAGATCCCAGGTTCAATCCCCGGTGTCGCCACTTAAAAGGTTCCAGGTTCAGTCCCCAGCATCTCCACTTAAAAGGATCAGGGAGTAGATGATATGAAAGACCTCTGCCAGAGACCCTGGAGAGGCACTGCCAGTCTGAGTGGACAACACTGATCTTGTTGGAACAAAAAGTCTGATTCAGTATAAGGCAGGTCCACATGTTCAAATTCAGTCACGCAAAGAAAGGGTCACAAGTTCGGCCAATTTCCTACTCAAACTGTATCCCCATGTGCTACATCACGCACTGTTCCCGGGAGACCCCAGAGAATCAGCTTTGGGGGTGGTAATGGGGGGGGGGGATGAATGGAACAAAAATATCAACACAATGACAAAATAATACACCTAATAGCAGAGATGGTGTAAGAAAGATCAAGATGGGTAGCTGTGTTAGTCTGCCTGTAGCAGTAGCTGTGTTAGAAGAAGGAGGAGGAGGAGATTGGATTTATACCCTGTCCTTCACTACCAAAAGGAGTCTCGGAGCAGCTTACAAACTCCTTTCCCTTCCCCTGCCCACGACAGACATCCTGTGAAGTAGGTGGGGCTCTTTTGAGAGAGCTCTTTCGAGAACTGCTTGTGAGAGAACAGCTCTGAAAGAACTTGTGAACAATCCAAGGTCACACCAGCAGGCGCATGTGGAGGAGTGGGAATCAAACCCGGTTTTCCCGGAGTAGAGTCTGCGCTCCTAACCACTACACCAAACTGGCTCTCTAACCACTACACCAAACTGGCAGGAGAGATTTATTCTATGAGCAGTTCTTGGATCCAACCTTTTGGAGCTTACTTGGTTTTCATACCTCAATGCCGTTTACTTGGCACAATGTTAAATACATAATAATAATTCTAGATCTGCTAAATTTTAAGGTATTCTATGCTAGCTGCTCTCTCTCGGGCTGTCAGCCTCTAGGTGGTCGTTGGAGACTTCCCGCTCACCTGGAGAAAATGGCTGCTTTGGAAGGTGTTATACCTTGGTGTTATACCTCACTGAAGTCCCTCCCCTCCCCAAACTCCGCCCTCCTCAGGCTCCGCCCCCTAAATTTTCAGGTATTTCCCAATCTGGAGATGGCAACCCCAGTTCTCTCATACACAACTGAGTGATTTAAATTTTTAAAGGCTCTTCACTGGGTGTTTTTACAGTGCAGTCCTAAGTACAGTTGCATAAATCCTACTTCAACTTTGGCGTCAATCCTAAAGGTACTTTCCTGGGAGCAGGAGCCACTGAGTAACATGAGGCTTACTTCTGAGTAGACGGTAGATTCAGGTGGGCAGCCATGTGGGTCTGAAGCAGCAGAGCAAAGTCTGAGTCGCGTGGCACCTTTAAGACCAACAAAGGTTTGTTCTGGGCATAAGATTTCGTGTGCATGTACATTTCTTCAGATCCATCCTTATGGGGTGTAATTCTGCTTAGGAGTGCACTGTTAGTGGTAAGTTTACTTTTTCCAGTGATATTAACTTCTTTTGTCTTCTTTTTCTATTTTTTAAAATCATTTGGTCATATGCTGCTTTGAGATCACTCTCTTTTTTGGTGAGCATTTTGTGTCTGTTAGTTTATGCCTGGAAGTCATGGTTGACTTCTGGCGACCCCTAGTGGGGCTTGGACATTTAAGAGAGGTGGCTTGCTATTGCATGTCTCTGCATCCCAGCCCCGGTATTCCTTGGAGGTCTCCCTTCCAAGTTCTTGCCAGGGTCCGCCCTGCTCAAATTCCAAGATCTGACAAGACTGGGCTTGCCTGGGCTATCTGGGTCCAGGCCAGCTGCTTTGAGATCTCGAACAGCACAGGATACAAATGTCTAAAAGAAACTCACAGGAGGAGACAGATGGGAAGCCTCCTTCCCATATCTTCCTTTCAAACATTCTACAAACTTTCAAGGGCTAGAAGGTGCTGACTCCACACACACACCCCTTCCCTTTCTGGTCCACAACACTCAACTCGTCTCAATCCAACCAGAGCCCATTCTGGATCCTATCCCATCTTCATCAGAACGTTTCAAACAGGTATCTTCTCTCTTTCGGTTAACTTACTAACAGTGCACTCTGAAACAGAGATACACCTAAGCCCATTTTTCTTCCATGGACTTAGAAGGGTTAACTCCATTAAGGACTGCACTGTAAATCAGACTTTGACATATTTGGAGGGGCCCCCAATAGTGTAGATGCACTGGTTCCCAAAGTGGGCCGTACCGCCCCCGGGGGGTGCTGGAATGATCCAGGTGGGTTGGAACGATCCAGGTGCAGATCCACAAACTGCATCGTTTTGTCCACTTCTTGAAGATAGATTTCCAGGGGGGTGCTGAGTATTTTTTTTTCTGAAAAGGGCATGGTAGGCCAAATAAGTTTGGGAGCCTCTGGACTGTAGAGGCTCTTTCCTTGTCTTTGGGTAGCCCAGGTGTGCAACTTTCAACAAAGGAGGTGTGTCAATCTACTATTAGATACATTGATAAATGAAACTAGCAAAGAGTTGGATCCAACCAGCTTTTCTGCTGGTAAAAAGAGAAGGAGGGGGTCCCCTTTGACCGTGCAAAAAAGCCTGGGACCTGCATGGACAAGAGCCATGTGCGGCAGGGGCTGTAGTAATGAGAGCTGTAAGAGATGAAGCAGAAAGGTTGGTGGGATCCAACCCAAGTAACAACAGCAGTAGTAGTTATGCCTTATCCTTTCTCCCGAGGAAATCTAAGCAATGTCCGTAGAACGCATGTTGGATATTTGCATCTAACATTTAAGCATAATGCAAACGTTGAGCATCATGTCCTAGCATCTGTCTTTTATAAAAAAAATTTTTTTGGGGGGGCAACATCCAGCCTGAATTAAGAGTTCTTGAGAACTCCAAAGCTTGCACGCTGCTGTGTGCCAACTGGTTGGTTCTCTGACCTGGAGAGCCCAGGCTAACCTGATGGGGTTGGAATAGGAGACTACCAAGGAATACCAGAGTTGCCCCGCACAGGCAGGGAATAGCGAGCCACCTCTTTCAGTTTCTTGCCTTGAAAACCCCAGGGCAGGGGCATCGAACATAAGGCCCGGGGGCAACTGGTATGTATTGTAAGGTACACCCACTAACTCAGCTTAGAGGGAACACTGGTGCCAACTGGTTGGTTCTCTGACCTGGAGAGCCCAGGCTAACCTGATAGGGTTGGGATAGGAGGCTACCAAGGAATATCAGAGTTGCCCCGCACAGGCAGGGAATGGCGAGCCACCTCTGTCAGTTTCTTGCCTTGAAAACCCTAGGGCAGGGGCATCGAACATAAGGCCCGGGGGCAACTGGTATGTATTGTAAGGTACACCCTCTTTTATGGTATCCCTTGGGGGGGGGGAAGAACTAGTCTTATATGATTAAATACATTTATGGAGGCTTTTGTGGGTCCCCCAGTAAATCAATCACTAGGAATTCCTAGGAATCGAATGCTTTTGTTTGTATTTTGAGGGGGGAAATATTGTCAATTGGGTTTTTCTGTGTCCTTTATAAAGTTTAGATCTCCAGTACCTTTTATGGCACACATGGCCCGGCCCAACAAAGTGACATTTATGTCAGACCTGGCCCTCATAACAAATGAGTTTGACACCTCAGCCCTAAGGGGTCTCCATAACTCAGCTGTGACTCGACAGCAAAAGAACTGTATTGGGAAATACTTGGATTGGGTTGTGTGTGGAGCCTGAGGAGGGCGGGGTTTGGGGACTAATGCTAAAGACTCCATCTTCCAAAGACTCCCTTTCCCCCCCACCCCAGGTGAACTGATCTCTGTCACCTGCAGAGCAGACCAAGAGTCCAGCAGCACCTTAACGTAACGGTTCCCTTGCTCGAAAGCCAGTCGAATCCGACTCTAGGGTTGCGGTGCTCATCTCCGTTTCAAAGCCGAAGAGCCAGCGCTGTCCGAAGACATTTCCGTGGTCATGTGGCCGGCATGACTAAACACCAAGGCGCACGGAACGCTGTTACCTTCCCACCAAAGTGGTACCTATTTATCTACTTGCAATTTCTTGCTTTCGAACTGCTAGGTTGGCAGGAGCTGGAACTAGAGACGGGAGCTCACTCCGTCATGCGGCAACCCGGGTCTTGAACTGCTGAACTACTGGACCTTCCACAGCCTGCAGTTCAGCGTCTTAACCACTTAACCTTTTAGTACATCCCCCTTGATCTACCACCTGGAGATCAGCTGTTATAGCAGGAGATCTCACCTGGAGGGGAGCCCACCACCTGGAGGTTGGCCACACCCTGCGTGGTCTGTAGTCTGGGTTTTTAAAATCTCGCCCTCCCCACCGTTGGGAGATCAGCTGTAATAGCAGGAGATCTCACCTGGAGGTGAGCCCACCACCTGGAGGTTGGCCACCCTGCGTGGTCTGTAGTCTGGTTTTTTAAAATCTCTCTCTCCCCACCGTTACCCAAGCCAACCCGATCTTCTCAGACGATCTCGAAAGTTAAGCATAGTCGGCCTGGGTTCTTACTTGGCTGGGAAGTCCGCCAAGGAAGTCCAGGCGGGTCCCAGGCAGAGGCAGGCAGTGGCCACCCACCTCCGTTCCCCCGTCGCCTAGCTGAACACCGACGCCGCTTCCCAGCCCCCTCCCAAGGTCACCCAGGAAACTTCACCACCGAGCAGAGCCTCGAACTCAGGTCGCGCCTGCAAAACGCGGGCTGGCGGTTCGCTACAGCTCGGGCTGGGAGCGCTTCCAAGCAGACCCTGAGACTCCGGCGCCTGATCCCGCAGCCAGCGACGCCCCGGGGGCCAACTCCGGGTCCGGCGGCGACCTTGCGCGCCTCTCGTCCGGAGTTCCTACTTGCCTCCCTCCCTCCTGCTCGACGCTCCTCCCATTCGCTCGCCTCGCCACGCCGCAGGGCTGGGAAGCGCCCCGGGGCTCGCCCTCGCCCCTCCGCCTCCGCCTCCTCCCCCAGAGTGGAGGAAAAGTCCGCCGCTCTCTTTTCTCGCCCTCTCTCGCTCGCTCCCCCCACTCCGTGCGCGTCCCCCCCCCCTCCAAAGTGTGTGTGTGTGTCTCGGTCTCTGCGCTCAATCACATGGTGTTTTAAGAAATGCTCCAAAGATGGCGGTAGCGGCGGCCGGAGGGGGAGGCGTCGGCGGGCGGCTGCTGCGGAGCGGCGCGCTGGAAGTTTTGGTGCGCGACCGGTGGCACCGAGTGCTGGTGAACTTGAGCGACGAGGCGCTGGTGCTGAGCAGCGAGGAGGGGGCCGCCGCCGCCTACAACGGCATCGGGGCAGCCGCTGGCAGCAACGCCAATGGGACCTTTTGCGCCCGAGGGGCAGCCGCTGCGCCGCCCGCGGGCGCCCACTTGGGCGCCACCGCCGCCGCTTGCAACCTCTCCGGCGCGGGGTCTCCCGAATCCCCGTCGGGGGGCGGCGGCAGCCCTAAACCGGGCTTGGTTTCGGGGCTCGGCGGGGCGCGCACGGCTTTCACCGACCTGCCCGAGCAAGTCCCCGAAGCCATCTCCAACAAGAAGCGGTGCGTAAAGGTGCTGAAGCAGGAGATGGGCGGCTTGGGCATCAGCATCAAGGGGGGCAAGGAGAACAAGATGCCCATCCTCATCAGCAAGATCTTCAAGGGGCTGGCGGCCGACCAGACCCAGGCGCTCTATGTCGGGGATGCCATCCTGGCCGTCAACGGGACTGACCTGCGGGACGCCACCCACGACGAAGCCGTGCAGGCGCTCAAGAGGGCGGGCAAGGAGGTCCTGCTGGAAGGTAAGGGGCTGACGGTCGGGCGCCTTTGGGCTGCTTTACAACGGGAGGGGGGTTGACCTCCCCAGTCGTCTCCAGCCTGGATCCTTCAAAACGCTTCTGGGAGCCTGACTTTCGTTTGAATTCGTGGCTTGCTGGGAATGGGTTCTCTGCATATGCTTAAAGGCATTCTCACCTTTACACGTTGCAGGCTTTGAAACTTTGATTTCTTTGGCGGTACTAGCTACCGGACAATGCACTTGGAAGTCTCTCTTCCACTTGTCATGGGGGGGGGGGGAGGTTGAAAGAATGTGTCTTCTATGACTCAGGGGTGTTTCATATGGGAAATGACACTGCAGGTGCTGCTGCGTGTGTGTGTTTTTGGACATGTGTTTTCCTTTCATGCTTTATGATTTTACTGCGAGAAATCGTGCAATGGGCAGATGAAAACTGGTGTTCCCCTGTAATGTGTGAAATGGACTCCAGAGAGGCATAGGACTGACTGCTAAGTAAAATATGCATAGGATTGCAGCCAAAGCATATGTGTGGAGTATGCTGTGCTTCCATCAGGCTGAGATTGTGCGGTGCGATGGGTCTGAAGTGTTGCTGCTGTGGAACTAGCGCTTGCCAATATGTGCTGTGTGTTCCTCTGATTAAGACTCCTATTGAAGTAAACTAAAGGGTCCATCTGGCACAGCGTTCTCTTCTGCAGTAGCCTCTGGATGTCTCTAGGAAAGCCCACAGGTGGGAAGTAAAAGCAATGCTTCCTTTTCTTGTCCCCATCCCCAGCAGGTGGCATTCAGAGATACACTGTCTTTGAACATGAAAGTCTGACTTTCAGCCAGTAAGGGCTGGTGCCTGTTGAGAGACCTCTCCTCAGTTACTTTGTCCAGTCTCCTTTTATTGCCACTTAAAGCTAGTGGCCCTAGACTCAGCTTGGAGCACCAAATTCCGTAAGTCAGTTACACATTGTGTTGTGCTTCCTTTCGGTTATCTGTCTGCTTAATTGCATCTTAAACAACCCCCCCCCCCCGAATTCTAGTATATTTGAAGAGACAGAACAAACTTCTGTCCTGTAATAACAGCTGCTCGAGAGCCCATCCGTCAGTAGCTTTAATATAACCCCCTTATCGCTTCTGGCAAGGGTTGAACTCAAGCACAAACAAGGTCTGCTGAGGTTGTGCTCACACCAGCTTGTGAAGACGCTGGCCTGTGTTTAAACATTACTAGAAGCTGTGCCCCCTGCCCTGTTTCCTAATCTAAAGAGGTAGGAATCTTGCTGTGTGGCTAATGCACAGGCGAGAGGCCCCTCTATACATGCGCCCAAGCATTCTCTGTTGTTTTTTACCCATTCCTGGGCTGAATCCAAACCCTGAAAACAGGTTCAGGGGGCTAACCCCTCACCCAAATCAAGATCTAGAATGGCCCCTTTGTTTCTGTCCCCTTTCAACCACTCAACTCTCAGCTCTTTCTTCTGTACTTTCCTTCGATAGCGGAAGGGAGGAGAATGCTTGGAGACTCTGGTTGTAAGCAGAAGAGGGTGGCATTGTGGAAAGGATTAAGAGCTCCTTCAACTGGCCTTGCCTCCAATCTTAATTGACCACTCTGGTGGCTACTCTGGGATGTGAAATCAAGAGCGCAAGAGAGGGAGTGACCGGGACAAATTTACCTGGGTGCTGGACTTAAAACAGGGTGTATTTTTTAAAAAAAATCTGCTGGAACAAGAGCTACAGTAGAGGAAGTTTTCTGTAAATATGGAAAATAGTGAAGTAAATGCATCATCAGTACTTGGGGGGGGGGTATGTGGATCTGGAGGAGAGTCTGTAGCATCGGAACAGAAGAAGCTAAGGAAAGACTGCTTCAGTGTTAGTTCAGGATACTTCGGAGGCCTCTAACAGGCACATGCAAACAGATCCAGGGAAGCAAATGTAGAGCTCAGTGGCACCTTTAAGACCAACAAAGGTTTATTCAAGGTATGAGCTTTTGTATGCAAGGCACGCTTTTCCAAATCAGATCCAGGGGAAAACAGGAATAAGGATTTTGTGAAATTAGTGGCAGGGTTTTTTTTTAAAAAAAAAATCTGCATCAGTGATGACTATCAGGGGTACTTATTGGAGAGTCCACTTGATGCTTATGCTGTCCTGTGAAAGTGAAGGGGTTAAGTGAGCCAAAGTCACACCTCCGCCTTACTAACCACTAGAACTTTGCCACCTAATCTGTTTCAGGAATGGGTCAGAGGGTCAGAGCTAGCTGTGCAGCTTCATGACTTGTCCCCACCCCTTATATTGGAATACTGTTTTTTCTTAAAAAAAAAAAAAGATTATAGTAAAGTCATGCCATTTTCATAAGTTTAATTCTGCTTTCGTATTTGCCACGCCTGAAATATGAGCATATCGATTGATCCTGCTTTAACAGTGTTTACAGATGAGGCATTCTAAATGAGAAAAAGTGCCATTTAGTCTCCCTTAGCGTTGCCAACAGCCTGGAGAATTAATGTCTTGCCCCGTTCTTTCTTTATTTTATAAATTCAATTTATAGCCCTCCCTCCCCGCAACGCGGGCTCAGGGCGGCTCACAGACAGGCATAAGCCAGCACATAAAACACATTAAAACCATTTAAAATCATTACTACAATATTACAACATTATTAAGTGCTCTAGATGTTCTGAAATGATGTTCCATAAAGATGACGTCTTAAAGATGGTACACCCAATCAGTGCCATCAGTTCCACGTGACGCTGTCGTTCTCTCTTCCAGGGCCAGATAGTGGTGGTACAGGAGTGGCGGCTCCTACTCAAACGCCTGGCGGAAGAGCTCCGTCTTGCAGGCCCTGCGGAACTGTGCAAGGTCCCGCAGGGCTCGGATCTCCTCCGGGAGCTCGTTTCACCAGGTAGGAGCCGCCACCGAGAGGGCTCTGGCCCTGGTAGCAGCCAGCCTGGCCTTCTTGGGCCTGGCATCGTCAGGAGATGTTGCGTCCCTGACTGTAGTGCCCGCAGGGGAACATATGGGGAAAGGCGGTCCCTTAGGTATGCTGGACTCCGGCCATATAGGGCTTTAAAGGTAAGAACCAGCACTTTGAAGCGAATCCAGTACGCTATCGGCAGCCAGTGCAGTGCTTTCAGAACAGGCCAGATGTGGTCCCTACTAGGAAGACCCATCAACAGCCTGGCCGCAGCATTCTGCACCAGCTGCAGCTTCCAGATTTGCAACAAAGGCAGCCCCATGTAGAGAGCGTTACAGTAGTCTAACCTCGAGGTGACTGTCACATGGATCACTGTGGCCAAGTCACTGCGGTCGAGGAAGGGAACCAACTGCCGCACCAGCCGAAGATGGTAAAAAGCTGACTTAGCAGTGGCTGCCACCTGGGCCTCCATGGTTAGCGAGGAGTCCAGGAGCACTCCCAAACTCCTAACCTCTGGCGCTGGCACCAAAGGCACCCCATCGAAGGTCGGGAGAGGGAGCCCCAACCCCAGACCACCCCGACTCAGGCCCAGGACCTCCATCTTCGCCGGGTTCAACTTCAGCCGACTTTTATTCCAGCATCAGCCAACCAGCCACGGCCTGCAACTTCAGTCACTTGTCATTTACCGGCTGATTTTTTTTTACCTCTCTATTAAAAGCTTCAGTTGCCTATTTCTATGTAATAAAATTCTGTTTAGGGCAGAAGGATGCCCCTCCCAGGTTGTTGGCAACAAGTCCCTTAAAAGTGGAGATAAAAGAATATGCAGGTCGTGTGAAATCAGAAATTCAATGGTACACCCCAACCTCAAAGTCACAGAGATTAAAGACTCTATGTAAATGACAAAGTTGCCCAGCTAAACTGTACCCATCAATGTTCCCTCTAAGCTGTGGAGTCTTGTGAGCAAAAATTCTACTTTTTGAGCTACTGGCATGAAAGTTGTGAGCGAGCGATTTGGCTACTGCATACATTAGTTTGCTCTGGAACCCTCCTTCCTGAGCCAAGACAAAAATGTGTGAGCCAGAGGCTAAAAAACTGTGAGCTAGCTCACATTAACTCAGCTTAGAGGGAACACTAGGATCTGCCTCTTATTTGATCTGGGAAATAAAACATGAGTTGGCGGCACTTTAAAGACTAACCAAATTTATTCCAGCATCAGCTTTTGGGACAGAGAGCTCTCTTCATCACGTGCGTGGGAGTGTAAATTTATATGCGTAACAACACAACAAGAAAGTGTGTAGGGCGGAGAAGGCAGGTCACGCGTCTTACAAAGAGAGGGCGGGTTCAAAACAAAATCCCATCCAAAGAGTAATCAGTCCACTCAGCACAGAGGTGAGACGCTTCCAGCTGTGGCTAGACAGTCAACTTGTAAAATCTAATACGGGATAAAGTGAGATAATGCAGGATGAAGTGAGATGCAGCAGGAAGTCACAGAGGTATAGCTGTGCATCTGACAGCATTAACTCTGACTCATGAAAGCTGGTGCCAGGCAGTGTTCCCTCTAAGCTGAGTTAGTGTGAGCTGGCTCACAGATTTTTAGCCTCCAGCTCACACATTTTTGTCTTAGCTCAGGAAGGATGGCTCCAGAGCAAACTAACTTATGCAGTAGCCAAATCACTCGCTCACAAGTTGAATGCCAGAAGCTCACAAAGTAGAATTTTTGTTCACAAGACTCCACAGCTTAGAGGGAACATTGGTGCCAGGCAGGGGTCGTTTCGTAGAAAAAGAGCTAGGGGAACTCATTAGCATAACTCATTAGCATATGCCACACCCCCTGACATCACCGGAAGTGTGTCATAAGGCCACACCCCCTGACATCACCGGAAGTGTGTCATAAGGCTACACACCCCGCCCCCAACGGTCCTGGCCGCCGCCGTCGGCCTTGCAGCTCCACTGCCGAGCCCCATGAGAGGCCCGGCGGTGGACCTGCAAGGCCGGCAGGAGTGCAAGGAAGCCCTGCGAAGGCCCTCCCTTACCCCAGGCAGGCAGGCAGGGGTGGGGAGAGGCAGGGAGGAAGCAACTTACCCTCCCTCTTCTCCTGCCTCCTCCTGGCTGAATGAGGGCCG